CATATAAACACATAAATATCTACTAAATAAACTCTATGTTCATCAAATTTGGAAAATTCTGATTCGAAAATCTATCCCATAATAACCAGAAACGGAAATCAACATAATACTGTACTAGGGTGACATCTATGATACTTTGAAAAAGTTAAATTCAATTTTCGACTTTAGTCGAAATTCGCAAAGTACCAATAATTCGACTAAAGTCGAAAAACGCAAAGAAAGAGTTAATATGATTTCCCCGCCAATTTACATATTAAGTTGGAATTCTACATTTTTGCGATCGCATGTGGTAATCTACCGCTTAAGTTGCGATCTGCGTTGTGACGAGCGTGTGATAACACGCAACTCAGGAGTTGAGTTAGTGCAAATTGTCGATTCGTAAACGCAACACAGACGCAAACACAAATCTTGCGACGAGCGCGTGATAAGGCCTCTGTATTGTAAATGTAGAAATGTACGCACTGGATGCAATGTTCATAGCCTTTGATGGCAGCATGGACTTCTGATCACTCGAAGTCCATGATGGCAGACATTTTGAGATACTGGTCGATTTAAATATCTAGGCTTTGTATAAAAAACCTCCTACCTCATACCCACCTACCCACCTAAGTGGAACATGATACAGTCATTGAAGGGTTCAATTTTAAAGATTATTAAATCTCAAAATAGCTCAAATTATTATGACTAGACAGATGACAGATCCATAAATAAAGGCATATGGATGCATTTTAATGTGTTATGACCCGAGGGCGCCTCAGGGGAATAAATAACTAACGACCGAGAGTATAGGTCTAACAAGCCAGATAATGAAATTGAAAGAAAGTGTGCTAAATTCAATGGCCCGAGTGGGAATCGAACCCAACTGGGATGTAGTAGCAACTTGCTATCAAGGGTCCTTACAAATGCATCTATAGTTCATCATAAACTAAGATTTAATAAACTAAGATCTTTAAAATTGAACCCTTCAAAGACTGTATCATGTCCCACATACATGGGTAGGTGGGTATGAGGTGATCTATACTGCAATTTGAGACAGCCGTGTCTTTTTGCCATTGGGAGAATGTTTCTGGTGGTGTTTAGAATCGGTCATTAATTTTCGACATTTGAAATATAATGAAGGCCGCTACATAATGTATGCAACCCACGTAAGACTACGTCTTGGAATTAGATAATGTATGGATGGAATAATTGGAATTATGTTATGTTACATGTATCATGTTTGGACTATCCATGTGACTTCCAGTACTAGGGCCAAGTTACTAGCATCAATTCTTTTATCTGATTTATAAAAATTCAGCTATGAGGATGCAAGATCACACATGGTACTTCCACATACATCCATCAATCATGCCATCAACCAATGGCTTCCATGTCTGAAGCGAATAATCCAATCAGAAGGTGGATCTGTTGAGCCATATTTGGACAGACTGATTAGAAGAAATGAATTTGTTTTATAAGCATACACATGTACATTAAGCATGCATGGTTCAAAAACTGAATTAAAAAGAATATAGAATATCCAATTATGAAAGTCGCGACAATGATGCAATTTTTAACTGAACAGTAAAATTTGGTACAAATAGGCTTTTGTTCGCAAAATTGATGAAAATTGAGAAGGTGTTTTTTGATGCACCCATGTCACATAATTTGTTATATCTCAAGTCAGGATCATTTTGTTGCAAAATAAATTTTCTTTAAAATGGTATCATTGTTGGTGTTTTTCCTAAGAAATAAATATTTATTATGAATATTAGCTAGGGGGTGGTTTTTGGCCTACCCTGTATTGTGCAAGTTGTGATTTTGCCTTATCATTTTATTTGCCTATTGCCTAATTTTTAACAGGTTCAGAAAATTAAATGTCGGAAATATTATCTTCATAATGTTATGGGAGGTTTCTTGTCATTAGGAAAATGATAGATTTGACCATTTAGCAAATTAACCACTCAGATTAAATACAATAAATACAGTAGTTTCAAAGATTTAATCGAGGATACATGTACAGGGGTTTCACTAGAATTTCTCACAACAGGCTAAATAAATGAAAAAAACAGGCAAAATTAATGGTAATCATAATTTTAACATGGAAAAGTCCCAAAAAACAACAGGCGATTTTGTGAAAACAACTGGTGAAAATCGCCTGTTGCCTGCTGCTAATGAAACCTCTGCATGTATGTCACTCGTGCCACATATGTGATTGATGTTTCTCTACAAAACAAAATATGTATTTCATTGTGTAAGTTAAGTTCAGTATTGACTAACGTTTGCGTGTCACAAAATAATGTATTGATTTTATTTTTCATTTTTGTGGCACCACCAGAACAACATATTGTAGTCTCCAACTTTTTTTGTGTAGCACAGAAAGTATGAACAATGAGCTACCTATAAATCTAATCTTTGGTGAAAGTAAGTGAAATTCTACTGAAAACAGCAGATACCATTCTTGATGCAAATAAAAAGAAATTCAATAGTTTTGTGACATCTCTTCAAAGTGTTTTGAGCTGTCAACCTTTGAGAAGATCGTCTTGATCTTGATCACTACTATTATTTACTAAATGATTGTTATTTTATCTCATTCATTTACTAACCAGTAAAACCTGTCTCAGTAGAACACTTTGTACCCTTAAAAAGTGTTTGATTTCGTGAGGTGTTCCCACGGGGTACCATCGAATAATTTTGGCAATGTACCGGAGAACGACATTTTACTTAGAAATGGCAATAATTTAGCACAATATATTTTTTAACTAGAGTTCTACTTTGATTTTGACAAAAGTAAGTATTCCATGCAATGGCTATTTCATTCATGAGTTTGTAGGAATTCTGTTGGAACCCAGTTCTGATCAAGTACGAAGTTATTGAAATCGGCGCAGTCGGACTTTACTCCGAAAGATGGTTTTTCGATTATAACTTTTTACAACATTTAAGTGTAGACTTTTGAAAAAAGTACAGAATAGTCCTTATACTATTGAATAATTCTGTTATTTCTGATTCACACGGCTCTGATTTGTTTAATTAAAAAAAAAGTTTTAAAGATATTACTTAGGAACGTAACCGGAGCTGGGAACGTAACCGGAGCAGATCAGTTGAATTATATAATTTAAAAAAATAAAATATATGATTTAAAGCATATATGTTATTTACAAACACATATGAATGTTAAAATGAGCATTTATTACCCTTCACTTACAGGAATATCAATGCATGGCAAAACATATAAATTTCCTAAAGATATATTTTTTGCACTTATATTTTAGAGTATCAAAAAATTCACTGATAGTTATTGCTTCAGTGGGAAGCTGGGAAGTAACACAAGGAGATACATGTATAGTACAAAGTTCTGTCAAACAAAGAAGAGGCAGTCATCAGTCGCATCGCTAATTAAAAGCAAATAGGCCTAATACAAAAGTGATGCCATAAAATAGTTATTTTTTCATGAGTTAATAAATTGTTCAGTGATTTTTTTTAATGTGATTGATCATGTTTGCCCTTATCTTCCATGTTTTTCCACAATGGGGACATTCAAATACAACTTTTCCGTGGGTAATCCTTTTGTGTTTGTCCAGATATTCCTTGGTTTTAAAGTATCGTACTTCCATATCACTAAGTCCATTTTCTTGACATAGTATAACAGAGTGGGTTCTAATAGTTCGCTGAACAAATACAATGGGTGAAATCAAATGGAATTATTTGCTTACTACATTTAATCATTTCATTCTCCATACAATGATTGTTCTATGTTTGATAGCCTTTCTAAGGTAAGTGGACTTATGCATGGTAAATGCCAAATTTAATTTTTCACAATGAATAATTTTTTTTCTTTAAATAAAATGTAATAAATACGCATTCGAACAATCCCGTATGTTTTTAAATTAGTATATGTGCTTTAAATCATATATTTTAATTTTTTGATTAAATAATTCAACTGATCTGCTCCGGTTACGTTCCCAGCTCCGGCTACGTTCCTAAGTAATATTTTTAAAACTTTTTTTTTAATTAAACAAATCAGAGTCGTGTGAATCAGAAATAACAGAATTATTCAAAAGTATAAGGACTATTCTGTACTTTTTTCAAAAGTCTATACTTAAATGTTGTGAAAAGTTATAATCGAAAAACCATCTTTCGGAGTAAAGTCCGTCTGCGCCAATTTCAATAACTTCGTACTTGATCAGAACTGGGTTCCAACAGAATTCCTACAAACTCATGAATGAAATAGTTATTGCATGGAATACTTACTTTTGTCAAAATCAAAATAGAACTCTAGTTAAAAAATATATTGGGCTAAATTATTGCCATATCTTAGTAAAATGTCGTTCTCCGGTACGTTGCCAAAATTATTCGATGGTACCCCGTGGTTCCATTAACAGAAGTTCATTTATTTTGATCTAGGACTTTATAGGATCAAGTGCTTTCAAAGCCCATGATAGGATTCATTGTATGTTGTAAATTATATTTGTTTGTAGTTCATATTATGATGGCTTCTAAAAACAAGTTTCAGTTGTTCCCAAAATGGCCTATAAAAATGGTTCTATAACTCTGTAAAAAACATGTCTTTTTTAATGTACTTAAGCATGCACTGTAGTCGTGTGCTGTGCTCAGTATGCCATGTACTAAGTACTTATTAACTAGTTCAACGAGTCAGATGAGTTTTCAGATAAAAAGTGGATGAAAACGTTTTTTGTTGTATTTTGCAATAAAGAACATAAGGGATTACATATTTTTTATTATGGTTACTGGTATTTGTCTGAGATGGAGTCGCTAGGTTAACTCTCAGTGAACCAGTAAATTATGAAGCATGCATGTACCTAAAAGATAAATTGTGTAAAATGTCGATTGCACATAAAATTAAAATAATGTATAGTTTTTATAAAATTCATCTTAGTATTTTTGTTTAAAATTGCATTTACAAGTTACATCTTTCCAAATGAGATTGTCTTTAAGGTCTATCAACATTGCTAACATTGCTAACATTGCTAACATGATATATTTTTGTTGTTGTTTTTTAGTTCTGATTGTGAAAGAGGCCATGCAGTATGCTCATTCCCATCTTCCAACATTTCACTTGTTAAGCCAAATCAAGATCAAGTAAGTATGCTTGTATTTTATTAAAGGCCCTGTGTAGAGTTTGAAAATATAGTTTTATCAATCAAATATTACTTTTCGTGACCTGAAAAACCATTTGACATATTTTTTTTGAAAATGTGACTTTTGAAAAAAGTTGTAATTTTTATTATTATCAAATATTTAATTTTATTATTATCATCAAATATTTGAATTTCTTGCCATTTTAGAAACAACAGTTTAGATCTTCAGATCATCAAATACAACAATTAACACACCAAAACACATTATTTTCTCTATTGTATGGAATGGATCATACAAAAGTCACATTATTTCAATTATTCAATCACGTTTTATGCATTCAAAATCTTTTAATGCATTTAAAAAAAATTGTGATGTCATGAGGATATGACTGGAATGCCACTCAGGTGGCAAAATATTTTAATTTATTTCTTTTATAAACATTTTCTCGATAAGTTTAACTTTCAAAATATAAGCCAAAGTGGTTTAAAATTTACATGTGGGCTTTAATAACCTTGTTGTCTGATGAAATATAGAACAATTCAATTTTACATTATGTTGATGTACATTGAAGCAGTATTCATTTGAGATCTTGTTATTTTTGCTGATATTTTGTATTTTGTCATTCTTTCTTCTGTTTGTAGCTTTTGATGAGAGGCCAGCAGTACAAGATTTTCCTTGATATTGAGATGCCTGAATCCCCAGCTAACAGGGACCTTGGTAAGTGAACTATATAATGTATTTAACTCATTTACATGTATATTATATACTGTACATGTATATACAGTAAAACCTGTAAAGTTGAACACCTCTGTAATTGGAACACCTCCACAAGTGGAACAGTTTTCAAAGTCCTGCAGCCTATTGACTTTGTTAAATGAACCTCTTTAAGTGGAAGAGCTCCCAAGAGGAACACCTTTTAGAGGTACTAAAGGTGTTCCACTTATAGGTTTTACTTTACATATAAGCAAACCCGTAACTAAGATTGATTGTAAATTATCTTTTTTCTGCAGGGATGTTCATGGTGGAAATCCAGTTTTATACCAAATATGGAGTTGAAGTCCAGAGGTCTTCTAGATCTGTAAGTTCGCATTTTATGTCACCACCACATAGTACGGGTCTATATTGTCAACCTTTCATGCGTCTGTCCGTCTATCCAGCAATATTGTCTCTTCGACTGATCAAGTGTTAGGGATTCAAGATGAATAATCTACATAGGATCACCCATTGGTGGGGAAATGTTGAGCATGTTTGTTTCCTTGTATGAATTTGCATTCTTGAGAAGTATTTAAACAGATTTTTTCAGGAAATCTTGACAGAGGAACAACAAATGTTGCTACATTTTTGTCCATAGTTAGTATGCTATCAGTATCACAATATATTGCGACGCAATTTTTGATATCATTTCATTCAAATGAAGAATATTATATCTTGATAGATTATTAACATTTTATTTTCAGGCTATATTACAATATAGGTCCACTCTGCTGAATATTATTTATACATTGGTGTATTCGCCTCTTTTGTTACTTGGCTATGTTGGACAGAAGCAGGCCCTGCATGTCGAGCTCATAGAAAACTATGTGGAAGATCCTGTAAGTTGAAGAGACTCACTCTGTATAAAGTAAAACCACATTTTAGTAGAAATCGCATATAGGTTTGTTTTCAACATCTTTAAATTTGTAACAACATTGGTTACCAAGGTAATAAATTCAAATACAGTACTTCCCGGGAAATACTTACACTTAAATGAGTTTTCAATCTCTAATATTGTGTAACTAGCTGATTTCATTTTGCTAAAATGTAAATTCCTTGTTTTGATTGTAGTATAGACCAGCTCTAGGTGCCTATATTGAAGTCCAGAGTAAACACATAGAGGTCTATTCATCCAGGCTGAGCATACATGCACATTTCTCTGGAATCAGGTATGGCAAACAATATCTCGTCACCTTCGTATTATCTTTAGTGTTATAAGGGTGTGGAAGGTTCAGAAGGGGTCTCTCATTTTAGCCCTTTAGCATGGTTTATTCATATGTCTTTTTAAGTGGGAAGGGTAACTTTCAGTGGACCTAAAAATAGCATTTCCAGACCTCTTTTAACTAATCGTTTGTAATTTGGAGGAAAACATATCAATAAAAATATTTATCTGCATGGATCATCATGCTCTTTCAATGTTTAGCTAATAAACTTTTTTTTTATGTCACCACCAGAAGTAGTCACATATTGGAACATTCTCTAACTTTTTTGGACGGTGTTCAAAAATTGGTGTTTGACTTTTGGTGTTTGGCAGTTGGTGTTCAGTGGTCAGTGTCTGTAACAAATGGCATGTCAATGCTTAGTTCATTTTAATTGCACTTTTTGAAGTGGTGTGAATTGTTATCATCTTGCACTGATGGACATGCTTGTGTGTTCATGCGAGACGAGTACAAAGATCAGTCATGCTCTGTATATGAATAAATTGACTGTATGATTTCTAGAATGATTTCTTGTATGATTTCTAGTATTCTGGGGGTCATTAACAGAACTTTCGCAAATTACCGAATTCGCAAGTCAATTGTTAATTTTACGAATTTGGTAAATGTGCATTAACAGAACTTTGGTAAAGTTACGAACGATTCGCAAAGTTACGAAAAAATGACGTCACGTATGCTTTCGTTCATAACTTTAATAGCACCTCAGACCCTTTCATAACTTTGCGAATGGCATATTTCTCATCCAGTTCTTATGTAAGGTATACAGGTTGGCAGAAACAAATTGTTCTTTATATGCATGCTAAGTTTCAAGCTAAAATATCCACCTATTCTTACATGATAAGCAAATATGTTCCTGAGCTGGGAATCTTTGAAATCGCGGAGACAGGTTTGATCACAGCGCGCAATGATATCAAATGACATCATATTTTTATTTGTGCTAAATAATGGTATAAGATGACCTCACAATTTGAAATTCGTTTACGAACGATAAAACTTATGAATGACTTACGAAAGTGTTCTGTTAATGGCCGATTCGTAACTTTATGAATTCGTAACTCATTCGTATCTTTTTAAATATTTACGAAGTTCATAAAGTTACGAATTACGAATTCGTAACTTTGCGAAAGTTCTGTTAATGACCTCCTGATTGGTTATTGCAGTTCCATCTTATCAGAAATGCCATTTTCACTTGTCCCCCAATTTAACAAAGTTTGATTAAACTGATAAAAGAAGCATTATCCTTGCCTTATTTTCCTCTCTTGAATTCTGATTTTGAGAAATGTCTAAAGACTGGCAATCCACCCAGCTATACTTGACTCATTGGACATGTTGGAAGATGAACAGGAGTTAGAATTAATCTATTCTACTGATTTATTTTCCAGGTATTTACTGTTCTACTATCCAGTTGCATCTGCATTCTTTGGTATCCTCACCAATATGTTGTTCTTAGCAATCATCAGTCTGTTGTCATGGTACCGCTTCATCTGGACCAATGGGGAACACCATGAGGAAATTGAGCAAGGTGATGAAAAACAATGGGAGAAAGATCAACAAGGAAAAAGAGAAAAGTACAAGTATGTGAGGAAAGATAAAAGGGACAAACAAAAAGATTCACTAAATAGTATTGAAGATGAGGCTTCTGAAATAGAAGATAATTGTAAGTATTATCTTAACTTTAAGTACATTACTGTTGGATTGCTTAAAGGGAGAATTAGACCTAGCAAGTAACCTTAACAAAAAATTGTTTCAATTTTATAATTTTTTGGATTGTATCATTCCTTGTCATGTCTATTTTCTAAACATACTGAACTAAAAAGTGCATACAAAGAAACACTGAAAGAAAACTGAAAGTTTTTAGAATAATGTGTTTATTTTTCTATAGATTTTTTTTATCATTTTGGAGTATTGAAACATTTTCTTTATTTTTGCACTTTGAATCCTTGCTAAGTACACCAATTTCTATCATATTGTGAATCTTTTAGGAGATATTATGTATTTGACATAATTAGGAATATAATGCTAGGTCATTTGTACATGTTGCTTGCAATTTTGTCACCCCATATAGACCTTATTCTGCCTTTAAGTACTGCAAGACCCATCTGAACACAGGCCCTCAGAGAATTTATTTTTCTCTTCCTGCCCTGTATTCTGAAGTTTTACATCAATACCATTCTTCAGATTGGTTGCATTACCAAATATTGATTTTATCCTCATCACTACCAACTGGTCACTACATTCTTCATAAATTCTTGGTTTGACGTTTCTCATCGGGACTGCTGGAGCTTTGTATACATTTTAACTGATTTAAGTACAGGGCAGAAAATGGAGAATATCTTCTTGGTTTAGGAGTCATTTTGGGAAAACATATTGTCACCACTTTAGAGATTTTTTCTAGTTTTTGTGTTATTGAATCCATTTTGTTTCTGTCAACATTTTTTAGAGCATTTCGGTATCAGTTTAATATCAAAGGATTTAACTTTGTGCAGTATAATCTAGTACATGGGTGTTGCACTTTCGTTTTATTTCAGTAAGAGCTCCAGTTCCACCAACTCCAACCTCAGACCCCTTCAGTATAATAGAGGCAAGCTCACACCCCCCTGTGAGAACCCTAGGTACAGTTCCTGATGAAGATAACAGTTCAAATTCCAGTATAGAGCTGGTCTCTGAGAAAGATTTACATGAGAATGTTGACATTTCTCTACTTGGACCTCCAAAACAAAGTCCTACAATACGTAGGAGATTAAAAGAAGAGATGTAAAGGTACATGTATTTGCCATGGGGTTTCGGAGATTCAATGGCTTCCATTGAAAATGGTTCACCAGCTTTGTAGCCAGGGGGGCTTGATATCTTAAAAAGTCTGACCTACCTTTACAAGAAAAAAATGATCTCGGTAAAAATTGCTAAATTTTGGATCAATATTGACCAAATTTAGTTATTTTTAAAGACAGATTGCAGTAACACCCCTTTTTAGCCCCAAAGAAAACAACTATGGAATTGAAGAGCAAGTAATATAATGAATCACTAAAATGAGATTTCAGAGATTTTTGACACTTGGGTTGTTTAAAGGTCAGCTTTGAGAGATCCTATTTTTGTACAAATTTTACCACTTTCTAATATAAGATATGGAGGAGCAATAGGCTTAATTTTGATTGTGACGTATAATAAGAAATGTAAGGGAAATGGAAATACTTTTATAATAGATTCTCAATTACATGAAAATTTTGGCATTTCGTATGGGAACTGAATTTTCTTATTTTAAGTTTTCCTTTTTAGGCTCTTCCAGTATTCTAAGCATGCTTTGAGAGTTTGGATCATGTGTCAATATTTGAAAAAATGCCCATGGGTAATTAGGAGAAAATGATTGCAATTTAATTCACATATGGGCGCTTCAATGAAAATGGATTTTCTTATTTCACTTGTTTCTTTCCAGTTTTCGAAACATGTTTGCCATATTCTAAAGAGTCATAGACTCAATTTTAATAAACACACATTGGCATTTGGGTAGAAAAGATGATCAAATGTCCATATGGGCACTTAATATTAAAGTTATTTGCCCATTTTGCAGTTCCCATATTTGAAAAATACAAATAAAACAGAGAAATCCTCTTTCAATGTATTCTGATATTTCATAAAACAGAAAGCAATATAAAGTATAAATGACATAACAGTCAAAGGATTGTGGAATGATTTCTTGTAGCTACTTACTTAGTAAAACACAATGGCCATTCAAAGTTTTATATATGATTTAAAATGTCACTTACCTGTTACGATTTCAGAAAATAAACAAAAGGTACCCATTTGTTTTGTACTTGTAATGAATTTAAAAATGACAAAAGGAACTTCAGACTTTTTATCTTAGATAAAATTTGAGATTTCACCTTCAATGATGTAGTGAAAGGAGTTCCTAGATTTATTAATAAAAACTACATGTATTTCAGCGCCAGTACTGTACCATTAAAAAGGTCATCTAAACTGAAGAGTTGTGCCACTTTATCAATCACTTGCTTTGTTAGTCTGCATAATGGTATTTTCACTATTGATTATTGAATAATATAAAACCCCTTAAAAATAAGGTTTGTAGTTTCTGAAATAAGGCCATTCATCAGGTTGTCGACATATACTGTAAATTGCTTTAATGTGGCGCTATTTAAATTAATTTGGTAGATTTGGCCACTTTTGAAATATTGGCTGCTATTTATTTTGGAAAATTGACCATCAAGAATCGTATGAATTGCCAGGGATAACGCAATTTTATCTCTACTGGCATCAGATTGTTTTATCTAAACTAGTAGGTCTTCGGAACTATTTCAAATTTTATCCATGCTTTAATGAAAATTTTCACCAAAGTTTTATCGTGCAAGGTAAAACAAGGGAAAGGCACCGGATGAAAATCCCCGGGAATTTCATTTTCACAATTGGCAGAGACTTAATTTGGCGGTTTTTATCAGTCTGCCCAGTCCACCATATTAAAACTTCCATCAAATTGAAGCAATTTACAGTAATTAATTTTGAATGGCCTATTCTGTAAATACACTTACTGTAGACCAGTCAAGCTTATTTTCATCACAAATGTAATGTTTTAGTGATCAGCCCACAACTATACACCCCTGATATTAGGAAAGAAGCTTCTTCTTCTTCTTCTTCTTCTTCTTCTTTACAGTCTCTTCCTCACACACTTTCAATATCTTTGGTGAAGTGTATTGGACTGACATTTAACTTTTCAATGAAATGGTATGAGCTCCATGCTAAATCACAAAAATGACAATGTTTTCCAGATTTGCATAAATATATTACACGCATAGCTGCATTTTCTCACTGTTCTACTCCGTATGCTTTTTTGCCATTTGCCATGTAATAAATACCTTATAATAATAAGTTTGACAGTAAACATAATATATACCCATATTTAGACAGCCCTAGGATAGGGCCTAGGGGTTCTTTCTGCCATTTTCTGAAGAAACTGAAAACCTAGGTCACTTTTTTTGAAATTGCACATCTCAACACGAAATGTTTATCTACAACATGTAATGTGTTAAAAGAAAATCAGAAAAATGAGTCGTTTGGAAAAAGCTTAGGGTGGCCATAATCCCATACCCTGTTAATTGAGCCTGTCCTTTTAACATCACAGTTTAGATTTGGGAATAACTCTCGAAACCTTTTACAAAATTCTTCATTTTTTCCAAAGATTATTTGAAAAGAGTCACTTTTTAAATAAAAGAGCCACTCTAGTGAATTACACTGTATATAACAATGCAATACAATGTTTAATGCTTATTATAGACTATTAGTAAACATAAAAGAATGCAGGCATTCCAATCTACCGGTAATTTAAGTTTCTCATTCAAATGTAGGCTTGAAATAATAAAAGTATTGATGAAAAAAGTACAGTTGTGCATATTCTATGTTCTAATGAGCGCCTCTTTTGAAGTTGTGCAATTTATAGCATCTGTTTGTTTTTATCATTGAATGAAGTCAACATTCATGTGATCATTACATGTTCTTTTTTAAAATTTATTTGTACAAGGGTAATCAACTGATATATTTTTTTAATTTTATATCCTTTGATAGCCTTTATCACACGGTCCTAACTTCGACCGTTAATTTGAATTTTTGACCTACCGGATGTTTGAAAATCAAGGATTACGAGTCTCATACTGCACAGTTTTTCTTCAAACCATTCAAAGCATAACAAAAATCCCTTTCTGATGGTACACTATTCTCTTAAACTGAGTCCCTACTTCCAGCGGCATTTTGGTCCCCAGCTGTAAGAAGGCCTTGTAACAGCTGGGGATCAAAACGCTGCTAGAACGAGGGACTCTTTACAATAAAGCAATGCACCGAAAGAAAGGCAATTTTGTTTTGCTTTTAATTGTATAAGTTTGAAGGAAAACGGTGCAGTTAGCATCTGGTAGGTCAAAAATTCAAATTAACGGTCTAAGTTAGGACCGCATGTTAATATCATTTGATATATATTGTTATAGCCAAAAGATCTACGTGGATAGTAAATAGTGATTGAAAGCACAGTGTAGGATAACATCATCAATAAAAGTTAACCATTCATTTTTTTATATTTTACATGTTACTGCGGTGCACTGGCGGATCTGGGAGGGGGGTGGGGGGCCCAAATTTTTTAGGGGGCCCAAAATTTTTTTCTCACACCTGACATTTGGGCCCCCCTTGTTGGTTCCCAGATCCGCCCCTGTTATGTTACAGTGCATGAAAATCTGGTGACCCCCAAATCTACATCTTAAGGATGCAAGAGTACATGTACATGTACCATCACCATTGTAACATTGGTATATGGGTATGCACGTAGGCTTTAGTATCTGTTCTGCAACTTATTCTTTAAAAGCAAAATTATTCACTAAAAGAAAATCAGAGAAAATAACAATTATTATTGAACTTTGTTCGGACTGCTTTCTAAATCTATACCAGATGTACACTGTATGTTCATATTACTATTGGGATAGTAATGTCACAGACCTACAGTTGTAAGTCCTTGTTAAATTGATATGTTATTGAAAATGTTATTGTACTCTTTTCCTATATAAAACCTTGTCCCAGTGTAAGAGGGTATTGTATTGTGTATACATATACATAGTGAAAATAAAAAAAAACGTAAACAGTTCATGTACAGGGTGATCATAAAATAAGATGATCTGACTAGGGCTCTATTGTTCACATTAATATATGGTTTTTATGTCACCACCAAGAAGTGATGACATATTGTTATGGTCTCCGTTTTTTGTGGCGGCGGTTGGTGGTTGGTGATCAGTGGGTGGTGGGAGGCGGTTGGCGTCTGTAATAAATTCTTAAAACTTTTAGTAACTTAACAAATACTGTTTAAGACTGACTTTTTTCAAAATCATCTACAAGTTTTCAAAAGTTCAAATCTGACTTAAGATTTAAGATTTTACCTTCAATGACCTTCTCAAGGTCAAAGAAAGGTCAAAAATATCTTTTTTCAACTTGCTTCAAATTGTCAAAATCGTGTACAAGTTCTCAAAAGTTAAAATCTGACTATACTGTAGATTTGACCTTCAATGACATTCTCAAGGTCCAAAAAATTTGACCTTCTATGACCTTCTCAAGGTCAAATAGGTCTTTTTCATCTTGCTTCAAATTGACCAACTTTTTTCAAAATCAGAAGTTTAAATCTGACTTTAGATTTGAGATTTCACCTTCAATGACCTTCTCAGGGTCAAAAAAGGTCTTTTTTTCAACTTGCCTCAAATTGACCAATTTTTTTCAAAATCATCTACAAAGTTCTCAGAAATCAAATTTGCCTTAAGATTGAACTAATAATATTGTGAGCAACTATGTGGTGACATTTTGTCATATTAATGCCTTGTTATATTATTGTAAACATTAATTAATGGTTTTATACTTTGGGAAAATCACCATATTTTGATACATTCAATGCACTCATGTATATTATTATTTTCTCAGATGTTCATTGAGGTGTTATATATCGTTATATGTGAGGTGTTATTTGTAATTGTGTTCAACACATTTTGACGCAATCTGTTGAAAATGCCTTTTTCAGATACTCTTCTGTCTTGAAAAAATCTCCCTGGAGTTCAGATTTGAAGTCTCTTTAGAAAGTAAAGTCTGAGGTCATATCTGTTGAGTAAGAGGCCATTTCGTTCAGTTGTTCGATCTCAATGCTTTCGAAATGCTTCTGTACTTAGACTTGCTTATGGCAAGGTACATTATTCACATGCACGATCTACAAACTCTGGTCTTGCGAATGGCTTC